CACACACACACACACACACACACACACACACACACACACACACACACACACACAGAGAGAGAGAGAGAGAGAGAGAGAGAGAGAGAGAGAGAATGACAAACTTACCTTGCCACCTTCGGTCCTAGACTTGCTGACCTGCTTTCGGACTTTCAGGGCCAGAACCTGCGCACATTTACGACCATCCAACGTCAGACGAGAGTCTCGCTTAGATCCCGCAACTCCGTTGCAAACTATCAAGCATTAAAAAGGTCAGTTGGACGCCATTCTAAAATGCGTATAACTTGCGCCAGCCATGTGGCGGAATACTACACACATAGACACATCAGGAGTTCAAATCCGGATTCCTCGGTTATTGACTGGCTTGACCCCCTTTCTTATTTATTGTCACTACTACCTCCCTATGTCAGGGATTGCGCAATTTACGCCCCTGCTGCCAGGCTCGACCCCCTTTCTTCATTCTGAAAAAAAAAAAAACCACAAAAATCTCTGTATCGCTGGCGTGTTCCGGCTCATGCAGCAGAGCCGTTGCTTCTCATTGCTCTGCCCTTCTGCTTGCCACTGTCTCAAAATTTAGGTCTCCGTTAACCATCTCTCCTGCTTGCCTTCCTTTGTCTTTTGGGTTCCCTAACTTCCCTCTCTATACAGACACTCGGTTCCCTCTCTGTACAGACATTGGGTCCATCTGCCTCCCCCGTGCCCTCCTGCCTCTGCCTCCCCCGTGCCCTCCTGCCTAAGTATCCTCACCCAATGGTCGAAGAACTCCCGAATTAGGACTTGGTTGTCCTTTCGGTCTTTTGCATCTGACCAATTGTTCTTTTGGCCTTCTCTTTTGGCGGTTTCCTGCCATTCAGTGCCTTGCGGCTTCCCCGTCCCTTTGTTACGGATCTGGCCGGGGGTTAAGGGAGATAATGATGACTCAAAAAGAGTCCCTTCCATTAGAACAGGGGTTAAAAGAGATACATGACTGAAAAGAAAAAAAAATTCGACATGGGGATGCTACAGACTGTCCAGGGTTCAGCTTCACGACGAGTCCCGGAAAGTGCGACGAAACAAACCTTCTCCCTCTTGTGGCGAATCCTTATGGGTTATCCGTTTGTGTCCGCTATATACATGCTACGTGTGGGGATATTTGAGAATAGTCCTGTACAACCATATGCCTCTGTGTGGGGATCTTTGGCAATAGTCCTGTCAGACTATATGCCTATGTGTGGGGAGCCTCGTTTCACGGTTGGGTTCATAACAAGGGTTACAGTTTGGGTTAAGAAACTCGGTTCACAGTTGAGGGTCCATAACTTGGGGTTGGTTACGACCGGCGCACAAGGAACTCAGATCACTGAACGAGACAGACCTTTCCAAGCTCCACTCCCCACTGGTCGAAGCTGTTGACGCCAAGGATGAAGCCTTGCACAGCCACCTGATGCTCGTACATGGACAGCAGCTGCAGCCAACCAGACAAACAGACAAACAGACACCACAGGGGACAATAATTTGGTTAAAATTTTGTCAGATAGCATAGTATGCTGCTCCTGCCAAAGAGAAGCTTTTTTTCTGCACTGTGACAGCTGCTACGTGCGCGCGTGCGTGAGAGAGAGAGAGAGAGAGAGAGAGAGAGAGAGAGAGAGAGANAGAGAGAGAGAGAGAGAGAGAGAGAGAGAGAGAGAGAGAGAGAGAGAGAGAGAGAGAGAGAGGGTGTGGTATGTAGTGGAGGGGGAAATTTATTCTTTGTAGCAAGCCTTCGTAAGTTCGTAGTATTAATCTATACTATAGATGGAGTCAGATAAGGGTGTGGGATGCATTTTTTCTGGTCTCAGATCTGGAGACTGTGTTGGAGGGCATCTTTGTTATTTAGTTTGGTTGTTCTTTTCGAATCTTTTGCAGTGGAAAGGGGTATTGTGCATGACTCAGCCAGGGCCCAGGGGAATTGAATCTTTTTTTTTTTTTTTTTTTTTTTAATTTCACTTCAAGAAGTTAAAAAGATTGAAATCATCACTGAGGCATGGTTTCCCGTAAGTTGGCTTGAGATGGATGGCGGAGGTTTAAAGTTTAAACTTTAAAGTTTAAATGGGGATATTCCGATATAGTGATTATCGCCTCAGCCTTGTGTAGTACTGCTGTATGCAACGCAGGCGCTAAGTCGAACGGGGGAATAAATACTTGGGCCAGGTTATCATTTGTGCCGGGCCTCGTTGTTGTTGTTGTTGTTGTCGTCGTAAGAGATTTGTTGTCGTGCTGGTTGATAAGGCAAGCAGTGGGTGGGGCGACAAGTGGTTTCGTCATTTGCTTCTTAACTCTTCTACGTGATTCTTGCTTAGCTGGCAGTGGCTTCGACAATTTACAGCCCGAAAAGGCCCCTGAGTTTTATTTGTTGTAGGCTTGTAGGCAGGTATGACTACTACCGTCTTCCCTCGAATAGCGTACGGTCATTATGGCTGTATTTGGTGCAACTTCCGGTCTATACATAAAAAAGAGCATCGATGACTGCACATTTTAATAAAGGGAAGGAGGAGTTTGCTGCTGTTCTTCTCGCTTTTTTTTTTTGTTTGTTTATTTGTTTGTTGAGTGTTTAAGCTTCTTCCTCTTGACTTGTATAGAAGGTGTCATGTGCGCAGCTTTGCTTCATTTTGTTAGGGGCCTGTTCTTGCGTTTGAGTTCCGTTTGTCATAGGGTTTTTTTTTTTTTTTTTTTTTTTTTTTTTTTTTTTTTTTTTTTTTTTTTTTTTTTCGTGTGTGTGTGTGTGTGTGTGTGTGTGTGTGTGTGTGTGTGTAGAGTCTGCCGTGGATGTATATTTTATAGATGGAAGAGAAATTTTAGCAGTTTTCGACGGTAATTGGGGTTGGTTTAATGGTTGTTTGGTTTAGGGTATTAGGGTTTGTTCACCTTTGTTGAACTTTTGGTTCATCTTAATTGCTAAAGCGGGCACACATCAGGCTAACGGGGTTAGGGTTGAAACCTGTTGGCTCCTGTTATTTGGTACCACTTTGATGATACTTGATTGATGTACAGGCTTGGGCGCATTTGGTACTTGATTGATGTATAGGCTTGGGCCCATTTGGTACTTGATTGGTGAATGGCCTTGGGGGCCCATTTGGTACTTGAGTGATGTATAGACTGTATAGCCTTGGGCCATGGGCCCGTTTGTAATTGAAATTCGGAGGCTTAAACCATGACTACCTTTCGCAGGCAAACTTGAAACACGAAAATGGGGCATTCCGCTGTGCGCCCAAGTACCAAATGGGCCCACCACTAACTTCAGAGGCCGGGAGCTACTGGAGCCAAAAGAAAAAAAAAGAAAAGAAAAGAAAAGAAAAAGTTGCGCTGGGGCTTCGGCAAAGCGTGGTGCGCAGATCTTTTCCACCTGGGCGTAAAGAGGCTTGGAGGTAGCGGTGGTTAAACCACCAGTACTTGGCCCAGCTATCGGCCGCGGAAAAAAATAGAGTAGAAACGTTTCTAGTTGGATGAATTTGGGCGCTCCTGTAGTGGCCCGTACGTTTCCAAAAATTGTGGCGCGTTAACGGGCACGACTCTAGGAAGTACTGGTGGTTTAAAAAAAGAGAAAAGAAAAAGAAAGTAGTGAGCACGGATGTGACTGCTACGGGGTTCCCCGTAATACTATAATGACAATAAAAAAACGGCCTGAAAGGCCGTCCTGTCCAGATGCGACAGATCCTTGAATTGGTTGGGCTTAAAAGAATTAGCCTTTATTAAAAAAAAAAAAAAAAGTCCATACCATTTACCACACGTTCCTTGGAGGCTTGAGCATGGATGTGGGTACTACGGGGTTCCCCGTAATACTATAATGACAATAGAAAAAAAGGCTGAAAGGCCGTCCTGTCCAGATTCGACAGGAATTTGAATTGGTTGGGCTTAAAGAACTAGCCTTAAAATAATAATAATAATAATAATAATAACAATAATAATAATAATAGTAATAATAATAATAATAATACAAATAAAAGATGTGCAAAATTTCAGCAAAATTAAAAATGAGAACAAAATTGCTCACCTGACCAACTGTGTATGGCGTTAGCGCTGGAAGCAAGATGCTCGACGATGGACGATTGCCAGTGAAGGTCTGCGGACAAGAAAACAAAAAAAAAGGGCTCAAGAAACAGAGAACGACACTTAAAATCAAGCAAGACCAAATCTAATTTATTTAACAGAAAAAATAAATAATAAAAAATCCCGCAGCCCTTGTGGCCGATTGGTAGACCCCTGTAGCTGTTGATAAACGAACGTTGCCCACATAGTATTAAGCGCAGCAGTTGTGCACCCCACATAGTACCGCACCCAGCCGAAATATCACCACAGGGCCCGCCACAGATGGCAGGGTTAACCACATGGTACTAGTCACACTGGTGCCGCGACCAAAATAGTACCACAGCCAACCCACATAGCACCACAGACCCCCAGTGATGCTGCCCCACACATGGTTGTAAGCGCAGTGGTGCCATGGCCCACATAGTACCATGCGCAACCCACGTGGCACCAGAGACCCCCCACACATGGTACTAAGCGCAGTGGTGCCGCGCCCCACACGTAGTACCACGCCCAACCCACATAGCACCACAAGTCCCCCACACATGGTAGAAAGCGCAGTGGTGCCGCACCCCACATAGTACCACACCCAACCCACATAGCACCGCAGGCCTCCCCATACATGGCACGCGGCTCAAACTCTATCGCACCCAACCCGCATAGAACCACAGGCGCCCCACACATGGTACTAAGTGCAGTGGGACATAGTACCACACCCAGCCCACATAGCACCACAGGCAACCCACACACAGTACTAAGCGCAGCGGCGCCGCAGCCCTCATAGTACGACACCCAACCCACATAGCACCACAGGGCCACCACAGATGGCAGGCATCCACATAGTACGACACCCAACCCACATAGCACCACAGGGCCACCACAGGGCCACCACAGGCCCACACCACAGATGGAAGGCACCCAGGTCACCTACTGGCAAATAGCACTCAGTGGACTTATCGCCACCTATTACAAGGAGCCCACATAGTATTACGTTCTGCAATCCTGATGGAACCAGATAAGTAAAACTTACAACAAAAAAAAACAAAGAAAAAGATTTACGAATTTATGATTCAAATTTTCACATTCATTAAATGATCACTAAGTCTTAAATAATATAGTGTAGCCTGCTATACATTCCGCCAATGCGGTTGAGGCCCATGGTCGCACTGAGCCTAGCATTGGCTGCCTGCTTCTAGACTACGGGAGAACAAAAAAAAAGAAAAAAGAACAACGGCGAGCCATCAGCATAGAAATTGGTCCACAAACTAAAAATGTGGGGTCGGGGCCATCAAGCTCATAATAAAAAACTAGATGACCTGTTGCAGCTTCACTTAAAAAAAAACAAATATGACAAATAATTCATTCGTGGTGGAGACATCTCTCTCTCTCTCTCTCTCTCTCTCTCTCTCTC